CACACACACACACAGAACGGGATGGAACAGAAGCAGAAGGTAGTTCGTAAAGAGACAGAGGCCAATTTCAAGGTGTTTAGAAGAGGAAGTGATAAGAAGATATGTTTATTTTATATTTAAACATAAAAACAACATTTTAATAACAACTAAAAGTGACATAGATACTTTATTATGGTATAATGTTTAAATAAATGCCTGAGAATCACATAATATTGGCCCTTTAATGATTGGCCACAGGACATGTGAAATCTTTCAAGAAATGCATTGTATTGTAGATTGAGTTTGGAAGTTTTACTTTTGACATTATGCCCATGTTTAATTTATTTATTTATTTTTATCTCTGCTGGACCAGAAAAAGGACAATTGCCACCAGATTTGTTACTGTGTATCAGACTGCTTTTAGACAACCTCATTGCGAGTGTACATCACTTTCTCAGCTTCCTCAACTGCACTTCCTTTGTCCTTTTTACTAACAGGAGTTCATGTTTTTGGGGACACTATTTGATTTCCATTCGCATCTCCTAACAAAGCTCTAATAACCCCTGCTTTAGTCACAAGAAGTCATACAGAAAAGGTGGCATCATACTTTAGACTATCTTGAGTGTCTGGAGTGTCTATTGAATTGAAGAGTGGCACAGTGCACATAAGGAATGGATGGCTCTCGTSGGAATGGAAAAGAGGCCATCTGTCTAAGAACTACCCTGTCCTTGTGCTCTATCTGATCTGGGGAAGACAGAGTGTATTAGCACTGAATAATGACTACACACTGCTTGACCAGCTCCCTGCACTCCACACTGATCATACTCTCCAGAGAGAGACTTTGTGTGGGCCTTCACCAAGTCTAAACCCCCTAAGGCCAGTGTTATGAGACTTTAAAATCTCTAATACACTATGCCCTGAATGCCAACCATCCACAAGAGTCCTGATATGTGTCTGTACATTTCTGATCAATCTAACAAAGAGTGGTACAGACTTTCAAAAATGATTCCAACAGCAACAGAGAAACAGGAAAAGTGGAAAAATAAAGAGTAAATTGAAGAGCAGGAAGGTGGTGGTTTCAATTCATTTTAGCTTCAATCTTCAATCATGTTTTAGTCTGTAGCTTGACAAACCAAAATAATATGTAATCTCAGCTGCCATAGAGTCTAAGCTCTTGATGCACCATGGAGAGGTCTGGATTCCAGCACTGATTCAGCTTCAGAACAATGGAGGTGAAATCCCTGAGCAGGTGAAATAGACYTTCTGTCTTCGCCGTGTGCCGACACAATCAAATAGAAACCTTGTTTTCCCCACTACATCACTGCCCTTCTTCCACCCTTTCTCCTTCTCAAAGTGCACGATCCATCAAAAAGGGCAACATCTCTGTTTTGCCATCTGCGAGTGTACAAGTTGTACGTCCATTTCATTTCCCCGCACCATTACAAGACTCAGAGCCGGCCCTTTGCTATTGATTCAACTACATTTATTTTTTTTTTCCCGAGCTTAAAAACCTCCCACACACAGAACCATCTCTTGACAAATCACTTTAGTGCTCTACTTGCGGAGGGCCATGCAAAAAAAACGGAAGCTGCTGTAAGCAGAGCAGCATAGACCGAGCCAAAAAGGTTTACCAAAAATATCCGTATGGGAAGCTATTAAAGAACGGAAGTGCTTCACTTAGTTTGTCACCTTTTTTTTCTTTTATATTGATCCATCTGCTTCTAATGTAGGAAATGCATTTAGRAAAACTGTAACTTAAGTTGGAGAAGTTTGCTCGCTATTAAAATGTAATTACCATTACAATAGAAACAGATGTTTGATTTAGCTGAATATTTCAAGTAAACATTGCAGATTTTTTATTGTTTGAGTTAAGATTGTTTACAAGTTTTAGCATTTGCAAAACAACTTCAGCAGTCTCCATAAATYTCTCTCTTTATTTTAGTTATTCCTGAGACACTTTTGTAAACTAAAATAGGTACTTGTTGATGACCTTCACTGAAAATGCTCTCTAAAGTGTCACCAAAACGATCAAACTTCAAACAAATAATTAACTGATGTTATTAAAAGTCGTGTTTAAATCATTCAAATGATTTTCAGTACCAGTGAAATRTTTGCTCAGCTGCATTAAGGCAATAAATGAAACTTCGTCTTCTTTTGTGATGATTTTCCAATTAAATCTTCAAATCATAGTTCGTAAAGCAGGTGTTGTTGCCAAGATGGATAATGTTTCCATTTCCTATCATTTATTAGTCTTCAGTCAAATATTGAAAGTTTCACAATGAAACACCGCTGTGCTGTAAAATCCAATCATTGAAATAAGTGGTTTATTTAAAAGCAGCCTTGCTTTAACCATAAGACAAAAAAAAAAAAGAAAAGAAAAAAAAGTCAGATCCCAGAGAGAAGGTGCTGTCATTCTACGTGATCTCAAGAAAAAAAAAAAAAAAGTAATCATGACATCTTCAATTGCCATGCAAATGAAACATTGAACTTTTGCTCTGATACACTGATGTACATCTTAAACATCAGGGTAAAGTGTGTGACCATAAAGCAAACAGTTTTTGCAACAAAGCCCTCGCAATACTTTGCTGCAGCCCAGTGGAACATGACAAGCTTTCCCAATTGATTTTTCTGTGATGTATTTCCATTACATTTTTTGTCTGTGTTTCATTGTTTTTATTTATTTATTTTCTGTCCCCTCGTTTCAAGTAATGGTGTTGTGGTATCATAAGAAAATGCCTGACAATGATGAATGCCATCAGTACCATGTGTTAAATCTGAGTCGGTGTGAAAATATTTTTTTTTTTTTCCACCAGCTTCATCGATCAGAAAAGACCTCATTAACTGCATTTCTTGTTTTCAGATGCATTATATAATCTTTAGTGGTTTGTGGGGCACTACTGTGACGCTGCTTCTTTTCATGATCTCACCTGTAAAGGGTAACCGGAGGGTTGGCCTTTGCAGAGCAGTGGAATTTCACGAGACTGCCCTCCAGCACAGGCTGAGGCTCCACCGAGAGATTGACAAGTGGGAGATCTATAAAAGAACACAAAGAAACAAAGGCATCCAATTACACAACCGGTATCCTACTGAAACACAGTGAACTTTAAGTCATAGACAGATTCTAGGTTTCTAATGCTGTTTGTGGCTAAATAAGAGATAAAAAAACTTTTTTTTTCTGAAAAAAAAAAGAAAAAAGTGCCACAGACACTATTGAGCTTTTCACAGGATTAAGGAATATTTTTCCTCATAATACTAAAAGTTTATTCTTGTAATCTTTAGAGCTTTTGTGACAATTTATCTCAATTAGTGCCAGGATTATTCACAAATAATTACGTTATTTTTTTATTTTTTTATTTTTTATTTTTATCTCTGCTGCCTACCAGGTGTCTAGGCGGATGTTTTGAACACTTGCAATATTTTTTTCTTTGTTCCCAGGAGTTGGGTATAGCGTGTTGTTTATACTCGCATATATTCCTTAGCATTGCCTTAAGGAGCAAATGAAAGGGAAATCTGAACTGATAATGAGTTTCCCAAAACATTAATTTGCATGCAGCGGAAACCAGTCCACAGTGCAGTTTTAGTAACCTTATTGATATAACACAATTATAAAAGTTCTTACAATTACAAATATTCAGATTATGCAAATTCCATAAATGCTTTCATTTATCCTAATTGACAAAAGTGGGATACTTTTTGAAGATACAGGTTAATTTACATATCACTCCAGCTCCAAACGAAACAAACAAAGCTATTTACCTTACAGACTCAGAAGATGAATTTCAAGCAGGTAAAGTAATTTGTCAGGCATTCTCAATACATTGTAGATGTATTTTGTTCTAAGCCTTAAAAGCAGTGTGTTAGATCATCATGAGTGAGTTCCTTTTAGTGGTTTCAGTGCTTTTGTGTTCATTGAAAATTGACTGGAACATGTCAACAATTAATTTTTTTAACTGTCAGGTTGAAACAGAAAGTCCTAAGTTACAAGGAGTCTATTTCATATTATTTATTTTTCTTTTTCTTACTTCTAGTAGTTGAGCATACCAGCGAGATATGGTAGAAAGTACCTGGTCATATGGGTAAACTATCTGGAGTCTGTCTAGGTGTGGTGGAATTTTACATGTTTAATTTCCCTTTGCTTTTTGGGTTTAGTAAAACTTCATAAACAGAAAGTTATAAAACAAACGTTGTTATTGAACAAGTCAAATCTGTGCAGCGTACAAAGTTATATACAGTATATATGTTATAAAAATGACATTGTGAAAGCAGATGAAAAACTTCAAGCTTACCAGGTTCATGTGGCAAGATAATAATGCTGATTTTTGACCCACTTTGCCCTTCTGGCAAACTTAACCCGATTATCTTGATGACTCTAAAGATAAACATGAGATATGCTTGCTGTATTGTAAGAGTGACCTTTCCTGCTTGGAAGGATGCCGGGACTGCTCCAATCTCAAGTTGGGAATATTCAACAAGTTGGATTTTCTTGGCCCGATAGTGTGTGGTGTTTCCCGAGAACAAACAAGCACGCAGCGTATTGGATGTGACATGTAAGCCAATCAGAAAGAGAGATGATGGAAACACGGAGAGGAATCCAAAATACAGAAGACAAAACAACTGCCATGGAGAACCAGAAAGTCCGGTGGACATTGGGGATGTCTTTTTGTTTTTTTTCTCTGTTGAAAATAGTCTACAAACTATCGCCATAGCTGCTTTCTCATCTGCTGTTTGTTTTCTCTGAACTCGTGCTTGATCGCAAAATAAAACACAGAAAATTCTGTAATGGCTTTTAGTTTTGTAACCCACAGGGCTGTATGTGCCCCCCATCAGGCCACACCTATGAAAACTTTCTGAAGGCGTACCTGGAAACCAGCTCAGTTTAAATCTGGCCATCTGTTTCAGAAGTAGATTTGCTCCGTGTTTAGTGGTACAAGCTTAAAATCCAGGATCTGCTCTTTGAATGTGGCAAGCACAGAGTTTCACTCAAAGTGAAAAAAAGCTCATAAACTGCATTTGAATAAAGCCAAAACCATTCTGTGCAGTCAGGGAGAGCAAATCTGTAAGCGTGTGTTTGTAGGACCGAGTGTAGGAAAACAGCTTATTACCCTGTAGCTGCGCAGATGCTCTAGGCTGGCTCAGCTGCCACAAAACCCCAGAGAGGAGGTGGTCCAGGTGCCACATTCTTCCCCACACACATGCCATATCTGAGCCGATGTATTCCCCTTCAGCACACACCCCACCTCCACCAACCACTCCACTACCCTGAGCCCCACCTGTGCTGGGTCTCCCCAGGCCAGTAAAGACAACAACAACTTTGTGCATGATGAGAAAAAAAAAAAACTGGGGGCCAAGTCTACCAGCAAGTCTCCCCAGGTAGTGTGCAGCCAATTGTGTGTGACTGGGTATTTGCATGTATGGAAACGTTTGTGTGGAAATGAAAGGAGACATGGGTGAGCATCATTATAAAATGGGAAATATCATCCTAGCCTTGAGCAATGGTGTTATATCCACTCAGTAGGTGGTTTTAGCATTGCAAAACGATTAAATAAGTGAGAAAAAAAAAGTAGGCAAAAGGAACCTAAAGGGCAAAATAATGTCTGGCAGTAGCGGAGATAGCAAAATTCTGTAGGAATCTGCAAGCACTCAGGCAGAGCCAGATACTAAAAGATTTGGAGGGGGATCTGAAGGTTATGTCTGTGTGAACAAACAGCTAATTCAGAAGCCACTTTCACTAAAACTCTTCCTATACCGAGCTTTTTAATCATGCACACCATCTTGCTGCCAAGAGACTTCTAAAGAGACAAATGCTCATTACTGTCAATCTGACCAAAAAAAAATCAATGCTCTTTTGAAATGACTGAACTGGGCCCCCACTTAGAAAACGCCCCAGTCTCTTTTAGGGAAAGGTAGTGTCATGATGGATTTAATTTGTTGGTAGTTCTAGCTCCCAAATGACAAAAGACAGCTATGGGAGCAACAGCTGTCAAAAGTCTGTCAGAGATAGCCCCGGGTGTAAAACCAGGGGGTATTGACATCTCTGACCTTTGCCCCTCATCATATGACAGACATCTATTTAACGAAGAATGTCCTTTGATGTATAAATGCATGAGACAATTGGTGAGTACATCCGCAGTAACACGATGGCCCAGCAATGTGTTAATTCATCACATTCTTCACTAGATGGGGAAGAATGGAGAGATGGGAGGGGGGAAAAAGGGGGACAGTTGGACTGATTGGAGCTTCAGTAAAAACAACAAGATGAATTGTGGAGGGTGGTAGAATAGTTTGGCCGACAGCTTTTGATCGCTTAGTTCAAAGTGGAGACCAGATGGTGTTTTTGGAACAATCTTCCAACTTCTCTATTTTCATGCACAAAGTGCCAGCATAAATAGTTTGTTATCTCTCTCTCTCTCATTCTTAAAGCTCAATTTCCAATCTCTGTGGGTCACTGTAGACAGCTGTTTTCCAGCAGGATCAGCCTCAAACTCGAGAAGCATTGGATGCCTCTAAAGTACGAAGGAGCTGTTTGTGGACCATCCYTTTGTGGATTATAGCCCCAGCAATATGGTCACATTGTCACATGGCTGGCTGTGTGAAAWACATCAGGGGAGAACAGACTGACGAACAACCTGAGGTCGAACATATTGATCATAAGATATTCACTTCAATAAATTTCAAATTTACTTCAATTTGGTGACAGCATATGTTCATTTGAGCCCCCACCCCCACTTTTTTCCGCATCAAAATATGAGCACGAAGTTTCTGTAAAAGTGCAAGAGCCCTTTTCTGCTCTCCCTACTTTAATATCCCTCCTACTCTCTGATTCTATTTCAGAAGAATTTGCCATTATCTGCTTGATTAGGCGAGGGGAGTATATAGCTGAGCAAGCTACTGAAAACAAATCCTCCCCAACTGCACATGTGCATGTTCTTTATTAATTAGTCTCAACAAATGGCATTCATTTTCTCCCCACGTGGCTCAGCTTGTTTTGCAATGCAAACACATGGAGAAACCTTGGCGTTGCTTGTCCCAAGTGCACGCATTTCAAAGCATGTTTCTATGTGGGGCAATACTCTGCAGATTTACAACTGCACTGCAAAATAATTGCGGAATATTTTTAATCACACACGATGAGTGGGATTTAGCAAGACAGGAAGCTGGCATCCTAAACAGACGATTTCCCCTGCAGCAGTGAAGTCGGGATCATGAGGAAGTTTACTGACTTAAGTCCAAAAGGCCTATTGCAAGTAAATATGTGCTGCTGGATAAAACAGCATCAATGGGGGGTATCCATCCCTCTGCTATCAAATAATTACAGCCAGCTAATGGGATGGTATGGACAACAAAAGTCAGCAGTCTATCCAGGGTACTGAATCACATCTGTTAGCTCTAAATCCTTCTCGTTTGGGCAACATCACCACAGCACACTGTATTTAGATGTTAATTTGTCTAATCTTTGGTCAGATATGTCTGTATAAATTTAGGTGGAATTCAAAATGCTGAGGTGGATGTAAACCACAAGCAMTAAAATTACAATAAAAGAAAAAAAATACTGTTGAATACAGCYGGTTTTACGCTGATTTAAGGTGCTGAGCAGCATGCAGAATTGTAAGTAAATTTAACTCATTTGGATTGRATTTTAGTTGAAGCAGATCTAAGTGTGAAAGTGAGCAGAATGCAACATTTTGAGAAGAACAGGTTGAATGAGAAAATGTTTTTTTTTTTTTTTTGTTCTGGTAACAAAATCTCATAGTCACATAGTCAATCATTTTAGTCAGCAAGAGAAACTAGACTTTCAATTATCTAATTCAGTTTCAACTGATTCAATGTGAGTCTTTGGTCTAACAATGAAAAAACTCGGTGGATGTTGTCAACATTTCCAGGAAACACAATAATATTTGACGACATTTGTTCATTTGCTGTRTTACAGAGTGCAAGATGAAAGCATCAAAATCAATTTTGCCTGTTCACTTTCAATACAGAGCAAACTCGCAGAGCGTTCAAAGAAAATTTGCCAGGAATTAACCCATTGTTTGACAACTTCTGACAAGTAAAGCTTGAAATAAAGTTTGATGTGTTTTTTTTGGATAAAGCTTTTTGGCACATGTTCAGCACAGAAATGTTCCATAATCTTTGAGGACATTTGGCTTTCCCTGCTACTTTCCACGAACTGTCCCCCTCCTCTCTATCTCCATCTCGTCATATTACCAAGAGATTCTCATCCAACATCTCATCCTKCTGGTATCTGTGCTCATCCGAAGAAACCACCTTCTATTCTCCATGGGGGGTCTAAAGGAATCTTTGTTTACGCAACTGCTCCACTGCAATGAATCATCACAGCTGAATTGTCAAGGCTGAGCTTTAAATTCTTGTTTTACATGCATAGTTTTTGCTTTTTACTTTCAAAATCCATCCATCCATCCATACAGCCATCCATCCATTATCTATACCCGCTTCTTCCTTTTAGAGTCACAGGGGTCACTGGTGCCCATAACCAGCAGTCACTGTGTGAGGGGTGGGGTAAACCCTGGACAGGTTGCAAGTCCATGACAGAATTTTCAACATGAGTGCCTTAATTTCTCTTGTACATACAACACAGTTCCTTCCAAAATTGATATAATTTGGTCATATTCCATTGCAGTCTGGCCATGCTTGTGCCAAAATAAAGTTCCCCTGCCGTGAATGGCACCCCATCACAAGAAACACAGTTTGATGCTGGTGTGCAGTGTCACATGTAATAACATGGAGTTTTCCACAGTCGTGCTTTTCTGTTAATCAGCTTWGTATGTTCAGGCCAGGCTGAATGAGGAATATTTTGAAAACATTAATATGTATGGCGATACAGTAACTGGCTGGCGGATTAATCAGTCTACATCTCGTGTAAAAATATGAGCAATAATTTGGGTCTCATCACAATATGAGGCAGGATTTTGTAACATAGGAACTTATAATGTATTTCAATATTATCTGACATCTCCTGTAGAGAAAATGTAAGCCCTTAAATTTCATGAGTACATTCATAATATATAACTTGAATACATAGGAAAAGTAAAATTAGACTAACATACGTATAACAGCATGGAAGAAACGACAGAAAAAAAAATTGACATCAGTTGATGAGAAGCAGTTTTAAAGGACCATTATGCTGACCATAATGTACATCTGTATCAGTGCTTTCCAGGTGACTGTCAGAGGCGTTTCTAACTGCCAACAATTATTAAGCTGTTTTGCTGGATATTCAGAAGTGCTCAAGTGTTGCAGTAAAAGGCACCGAGTACTATTATATAGACTAATTTGTCAAGTGTTTCATATCTTCCAGGGCTGACAGGAAGCTCCTGGAGGAACATTTCCTTCGTAAATACAATAATGGCTTTTAGCTTTTGTCAAAAAGTCTCAGTAGAAGAGTTGCAGTTAGGCAAAAAGAGGTACAGATTCATTTTCTTTTGTCCAAAAACTAAAAAAAAGAAGAAATGCACTTTTCTATTGTCGTAAAAGTGTCATTAGGCAATGACAAGTTTTGTTGTTAARAGCAAGTGCAGCGGTTCYAGCTGTCGCCTGTCATTGTTAGATCACAGGATTGCCCTCTGGTCTGAGGCCATTCTGAGTGGGGTTTGCATGTTCTCTCTGCAAACCTGTGGYTTTTCTCACACAGAATAGCATGCATGTAAGGTTATTTTGTAACTCTAAAATGTCCCCAGCTGTGGTTAAGTGTGTGAGTGGTTGTTTGTTCGTCGCCCTGTGATGGACTTGCGACTTGTCTGTAGTGTGCCCCGCCTCTCACAGAGTGACTGCTGGAAATAGGCACAAGCTCTTTGTGACCCGGAAGGGYAAAGCAGGTAAAGGAATCTAAACGCTATAATTTAAATTATTGTTGTTCCTTTTTCAGTTTCATAGCATTTAATTGTACACCGTTTCTTCACTAAAGGAGTAATCTTTAAAATAAAATGATTAATTGACGACATCATCCTTTGGTTCATATAAATACAAATCAGTGGTTAAAAACATGTACAATGRAATTTTGACCTTGGTGTTGTTAGTTATGAGTTCAGAAACTCTGTAAGCTCTTTTAGAACAATGGTCAAGTACTTAACTTGAAAATAATTGACTAATCCAGATTATCCAATTTGACAATCTGGCCTTCAGGTTTATTTAAGGAACAACGTTCACTTAGAAACACAYCACTTTTAGATTAGAATGCAGTTTTTGTGTGCTGTTATTTTTTTTTATACCCGGCAGCAGTGGAAGAAGTGCTGTATAGTTTCCAGATACACATCTTTAACAGTAATCTTACAGTATTGTCCAAATATAATAAGATCATCTGCGCAGCTTCGACACTTTGTAAAAGTGCTTTTGGAATCTGATAACAACTGTATAATAAAATGAACATCCTGTGTTAAAATGCAGGTGATTGTCTAAGCTATACAGCAGGTACTCACACAAAACAAATATACAAATAAATATATAAAGTGTTCAAAGTAGAGTGTGTACCTGCCCCATAGCTTTTATATGAACATCTGCTTMTGATCCTCTTGTTAAGCTACTGAATTTATAATAAAATTATGCTGCGTTGAAATTTAGCAAGTTGTTACATGGTACAAACAAGTTGGTGTTCATTTGTAGCATGTTTCAGTCCAGGGGTGACTTAATTTGAGAAGTGCCTCTCTTCTACAGATTTTCCAAATGTTCTGCTGAACTGTACTGAACCTGTCAAATCTTCGGCAGGGCTGGGGGGGAATGAGACGGAAGGAATCGAGAGCCTTAACCTTGTGGGAGACAGTCTGGATCTCAACAATTAGTCTCTGCTGTCGCTCCGTTTGATATCACACTGTGAAAAAAAAATGTTTGCAGGAGCTTTAATTGTGTAAAGARGACATTTTGGAATGCTAATTAGAGAATAGGACCGACTCTCTTTTTTTTTTTTACCAGGGATAACTCAAACGTTCACCAGCGAGGATGATGCCATGATGGGGGAGCATTTATCACAGACACATCATTATACATGGTGACAAATCAGTTTACATGTGGGCAGACTTCCCTTCTCCGACTCCAAAGCGAGAATTGAGGAGCACAAACTGCAAGGGTTGCAAACACTAACAACTGCTAATCATTTTTTACTCCCGCGCTTGAGTCGGCCTGATTGTGCCGTGCCCGCTCGTGCCATTCTCGACACTTGCCATGTACATAATAAAAAGAATGGAGCTGTCAGTCATAATGGTTCTCTAAATAGCGTTTTCTGCTTTATTAGTCATACTTAATGGTGTTGAAGGGGCTGTGAGTGATGAAAAATCCTATTGTTTGAAACCTTTTCTCTTACTGTGAGCAGTTCTTAATCGAAAAAATACTCCCTGACAATTGAGTCTGAATGTGTTTTACACGCTGGGCTTGTTTTGCCTATTTTGGAAGGGGGTTGTGGATGTTCTCATCAAAAAGATTGATGGTCTGAGTGAGGAAATGAAAGCAGTAGACAGATTTTGTGTTCTAACACAGCAAGCAGGTAGCTGGATAATAAATGGAAGCTTCCATCATTATAGATAGATAGACACTTTGATTTCTATCACAGCAAACAGGGAAAAAATACGTGTGCATTGTCAATTGATTTATCGAGATGGATTCATAGAAAAAAAAGCATGTATAAATACCTCAATAAATATTTTGTATGAGTCAGGTGAGTTGTTGTGACAGTGTCAGGCCTTTACATACCAAACATAATACTGATTTATGCAAAACATAAGTTTCATTACTTTCAACACGTTAACTAAAAAACATAGCAGGGAAACACAAAAAAAGAAAAAGAAAAAAAAACAGACAAGAAAATGCTTACGCTGAATATCAATTGTGACACTGGTCTCTTTGCCGTTGGGTACTGCCTTATTGGAGGCTTTACAGATGATCTGCTGACCAGTCTCAATGTTGGATGGAGGTAGGTGGAGTGTGCTCACAATGCTTTCTTTCCTGCCGTCGTGAAGCAATTGCTGCAAAAAAAGTAAAGATACACACAAGTTTAGGTAATGTTAGCCGTATGGATGAAGGTACCAGGTCTCGCAAACGCAACATCGTGCTTCAATCTTATATTTCATTTTCACAGTCAATGGAACAAAAGCAGAATTATTTTGGTTTTGGGCAGGAAACTAAACGTTTAAAACCACTGCATCTGGGAATTTTTGGATATTATCTCCAAATGGGCCAACTGAAGTTGTGATTATYAACAGTTTAGGTGCCATGCAAGTAGGGAAAAAGAGGTAAACAAGAGTAATAAATGGTATGCTTTGATGAAAAAGGTGTAAAAGAGTAATAAAAGAAAAAGAGAAAAGAAGAAAATGGCAAACAATCCACGAATGCACACACAACCTCCTTTGGGGAAACAAAGAAAACCCATCAGAACATTCTAGCCTGTAGTTATACTGCAAAGCAAGCTGATATGAAATGAAGAAAATAAATAAAACATATTTTGTAATATTTTTTTGTGCTTTTTTTGTGTGTCTGGAGAGCTGTGCTCCAGTGCATGGCTTGTCATACTTCACAAAGGAAATCAATCTTCTTTTCAGTGCTCATCCTCTGAGCCCTACATTGTGGAAGTCATCTGGAATCGGTTGGTAGCGCTCAGAAGCTCTCACTTCGACTCAAACGTTCAGAGGAGGGCTCTGGGAGTTTATGTTAAACWGTGCAGGACAAAACTAAATCAGTGAATAGAACAAATTGTGTGGGCAAGGCAGTGTGGTCAACCACAAAGTCAAGATGCATTTCCTTTAAAATAGGCTCAATGTTGCTCTGCATATTTTGTACACGAAACGAGGATCGTGGAAGGAATGTACGTCAAAAAATTTCTAACAACAAAGGATATATATATATATATATA